TATGCTATTACGGGGTCTCTTACAAGTGTACTTTTTCCTGCGTTGTATAAGCAATGAGAATTTTAAATGAAATGAAGTGAATTTGCTACTATCTCGGGGTTTTTTTTTTTTCTTCCCGTGCCTTGTAAACCTTAAACCACTATACTTGTTCTATTTGAGGTGCAGGGGAGAGCATGAGTGAGCTAATCACTTAGAAGGAAAAATACAAGCTAAACAAAATCCTTAATGAAACAACATTTGTTTTTACCTACGGAAGTAAAAAACTTTTTAGCCACATGCTTTGAAGCCACATGCTTTGAAGTTTTGGGGCCCGATACAGGATCCTTGACTCTGTAAAAATAATATGGCTCTTTATTATTTGGCTGACTGGCTTTTATACCATTGCAAGGAGTTGGGAGGGAGAGGGACCACTAATTTCTTCTCCGTTCTTCTTCCCGTATCTCATTACCATGATCTCTATTCAGATTCAAAGTTTCCCTGGTGCATCCTATTATAAATCATATTTTTTATGAATCGCTGACCATATTTGCCACTGTTGGGGAGGCAAAAAAAAACCTGAAACACAGAGCCTATGTTCTAAACGGGTTCATAATTGATACAAGGATTAAAAGCTAATTCCTGTCATTCTTACACCTTTGCATCCTCATAGTTTAGCTCCCACTTACAAGTGAGAACATGTGGTGTTTGATTTTCCATTCCTGAGTTACTTCACTTAGAACAATTGACCTTAGACTTTTTCCTTATATTTTCTTTTTCCAGCTTTCCTGAGTACCTTTCAGCTGATATCCCCTTTTTCCTCTTTTTTTTTTTTTAAGTTCTAGTGTACATGTGCACAACATGCAGGTTTGTTACATATGTGTACATGTGCCATGTTGGTGTGCTGCACCCATTAACTCATCATTTACATTAGGTATATCTCCTAATACTATCCCTCCCCCTGCCCCCTCCCCACAATAGGCCCCGGTGTGTGATGTTCCCCTTCCTGTGTCCAAGTGATCTCATTGTTCAGTTCCTACCTATGAGTGAGAACATGAGGTGTTTCGTTTTCTGTTCTTGCGATAGTTTGCTGAGAATGATGGTTTCCAGCTGCATCCATGTCCCTACAAAGGACACGAACTCATCCTTTTTTGTGGCTGCATAGTATTCCATGGTGTATATGTGCCACGTTTTCTTAATCCAGTCTGTCACTGATGGACATTTGGGTTGATTCCAAGTCTTTGCTATTGTGAATAGTGCCGCAATAAACATACGTGTGCATGTGTCTTTATAGCAGCATGATTTATAATCCTTTGGGTATATACCCAGTAATGGGATGGCTGGGTCAAATGGTATTTCTAGTTCTAGATCCTTGAGGAATCGCCACACTGTTTTCCACACATCTACAACCATCTGATCTTTGACAAACCTGACAGAAACAAGAAATGGAGAAAGGATTCCCTATTTAATAAATGGTGCTGGGAAAATTGGCTAGCCCTTTTTCCTCTTACAAAACTTTTTTTTCTTACTAAAGCTCTTCTAGATCATGTGGAAATCATGAGCTTTTCTGGAACGACCCTTAAATGTCTCTCCTTAAACTCATTTTACATTTTAACACTTCTGGTCATTTACAAACTAGACTAAATTATTTTTTAAAAGCTGAGTCATTACAGTTATGATGTTTTAGCCAATGTTAAAGTAACAGGGGGTTTGACTTACTGTCATTAGCTTTGGTTTTAGGATTCTAAAGCTAGTATACTTCATGAATAGCTCACCAGTTGCTTTTTTCCAGTAATGTCGAAAGAAACTTAATTCCAGTGGTTCATGTGTGTATCCTCTGGAAAGTTTTACATGTAAAAACTTTTGAAAACTAATGTGCTATTAAAAAACAGGACAAATTTTTGGCTGGGCACAGTGGCTCACGCCTGTAATCCCAGCACTTTGGAAGACCAAGGTGGGCAGATCACAAGGTCAAGAGATCAAGACCATCCTGTTCAGCATGATAAAACTCCATATCTTCTAAAAATACAAAAATTAGCCGGGCGTGGTGGCGCATGCCTGTAATCCTGGCTACTCTGGAGGCTGAGGCAGGAGAATCACTTGAACCCAGGAGGCAGAGGTTGCAGTGAGCTGAGATCGTACCACTGCACTCCAGCCTGGGCAACAGAGTGAGAGTCCGTCTCAAAAAATAATAATAAATAAGGCAAATTTTTAAATAGCTAATATAAAACAATGTTTTGTTGGCAGTTTAAATCAGTAAAGTACGGTAGTTTGTTTCTATTGTGGTTGTAATGATATATAATCTTGCAAAGATTGTATATTTAGTTGGGTATGCATAACACAAGAACTGTAGTTTTTAATATATCCTTTAATCTTCCAGTATACCCAAAATGTACAATTATTTTTGCCAGTATACAGCCTTTCAGTGGAAAAAAAGTGTTATGACTGAGATAGTTTACATAGAAAAATTACAAACTTTGTGACTTAAAGTACATTTATCATGTTATCTCACCTTTTTTTCTTAATGCATACTTCTACAGAATTGTTGAAACTGTCAGTGGTTCTGACAACTCGGGAAAACATAAAGACTGGACTAATGTTAGAGAACTGAACCCTTAGTTTCTGTTTTGTTCCTTTGGTGCTATTTTCTTATCTAAATTTTGTAATAAAGTGGAATTAAATGTTAAAATATCAATTAGGTTTTCAAATCAACAATATATGTTGTGTATACATTGAGAATTGCTCATTTTAATACATATTTTACCGTATCACATGTGGAGATTGCTGTTGTCCATGTTTTTTCTAATTAATTTATACTATTTTCCACAAATATTAGAAACTTCATTGTACAGATCATCTGCATAAAAAAACTTTAATGAAAAATAGTGTTTTGGATACACTGATGCTTATCTGTATTTTATCTCATTAAGCTTCGTTATTCTGTTTCTCATCCTAGTTCATTTATTTTGGGGAATTGCAAGGATTTGCTATATTATATAAGGGAACACTTTAAACACATTTTCAAAAGAATCACATCAACAGTTAATATGTTTTTTAAAATTATATATGGAGCGATCATGTGAGATGTAGCATGGCATAGTGAAAAGATTTATGGCACTTAACTATTTGTGACCTTGGCCGAAAAAATGGTCGCATGTCTTCTCCTGTGTCTCGTTTTCCTTATCTGGAAAACAAGATGATTAATACTTCTCTTACAGAGTGGTGGTGGGAATTAAATGAGTTGAGGAATATGAAGCTGCTTTATAATATACTCATTATATTATAAGGGTGCCTTCTATTTATTCTAAGCTTCATGAGGACAAGGACCCTTTCTGCTTCTTCATTGTTGTAGTATTTAAGACTTAGCACAGTGCCTGGCACATAATAAGGAATCAGTAAATATTTGTTGGTGTTTTTCCTGCCTTTTTGTGTTGATAAATAAATGAGGAATTAACTGTCATTTCTTACAAAGTTTATATATTGACCATAAATTTCTTCTGTTGGTCCATAACTTCAACCTAGTTCTCTTTTTAAATCTAAATGTTTATGTAATTACTAATGTGCTTGAAAGTCTTTCAAACTTACATTTTGCGTAAGTTAAAAAAAACGTTACTTTAAGCCAGGCACATGTCTGTAATCTTAGCTATTTGGGAGGCTGAGGTCGGAAGACTGCTTGAACTCAGGAGTTCGAGACCAGCCTGGGCAATATAGCCAGACCTCCTAGGCTCTTTCTTTTTTTTTAAGTTACTTTTTATTTCCTTTGGATTTTGAAGTTGCAGAAACTTTCACATATACTTTTAATAATATTCTGTCATTCCAAAACCTTTTCTGTGGAAATAGCCCCATTGAGTTTATGGGCAGTGGATGCAACTTGGAAAACGTTAATATCTTACGGAAACGAAATGTTTCTCAAAAAACAGGAATATCAGTGGTAGGTTTTGTAAGTTTCTCCCTCTTAAAAAAAAAATCTAAAAGAAAAATCTGTTTTCCCCTTTGATTATCACTGGTAACAGTTATTTAGTTCTTCAGTCCATGTAGGTAAAAATGCAAATGGCTTTATGGAAATGAGCACTAAAGCTTGGATCCGGTCCTGCCTTAGCTACGTCTAAATATGTGATCATGAGCAAGCCATTCAGGTCCTCTGAGATTGTGATAAAGTCAGATAAATCCTACCTCAAAAGAACTTGGTGGGCCTCAAGTGACATAACATGTACTAGAAAGTGCTGTGCATAGTGTAAAGTGCTCTACTAAAGAGTGCAGAGTTCTTAATTTCTTGGTACTGTAGACCCCTTTGGCCATCTTGTGAAGCTTGTAGAGCCCTTCTGAGGTGTAAACATAAAAGAATTACAAAGAAATCCAATTATATTGAAATTCAGTTATGAAAATATTTGAAAGTAGTAGAGTAATTTATGGTTCTTTACTAACATTAAATAAAATGTTATTGTTGTGTGTTTAATGACTTCACTAATTTTGAAGTAGTGATGACCGTAAATGATGTTTTAAGATACCTGTAGCAACTGTAATGTGATCTCTGTTGATGACAAAAATCACCAGTATTGCTAATACCACTGTGGTTTGTTGCCTGTATTTATAATTGAAAGAAATGCTAAACGTCACTTAGAGGTTAGTGAAAATGATATTGTAATTGTTTTTTCTCATTTAAGTTCATGAACTCCTTGAATTCTATCCATTATTCCCCAAGTTTAAGAACCCCTGTGATATATTAATGCTAGTCATTAACACTAACAGTGTATGTTAAGGGCATATCTCTACTCAAGGGTATTTAAAGTACATTTATCAAGGTGATGTCTTGTAGGTTATTTGGAGTTTAGTTTCATCAATCTTAATTTTGGAATTAAGGTTTAAGAGTTTGATTATATTAACTATAAAATAGTTAATAGTTAATTTGGGGTACAAATATTTAATTAGATATACAACTTACATGACTGATTATCTCATAAATGATTGTTTCTAGAGCTGTTTATTTAAAAGGGATTAAACTTCTTTTCTAAAATTATTACCAGGATCAGCCAAGATCTTGCTCTCATTGCTCGGGAGATCAACGATGTAGCAGGAGAGATAGATTCAGTGACTTCATCAGGCACTGCCCCTAGTACCACAGTAAGCACTGCTGCCACCACCCCTGGCTCTGCCATAGACACTAGAGAAGAGGTAGGAGATCTTCATGGAGAAATGCATAAGGTTCTTTCTTTTCTTTATTTCTTTTGCTTTTAGCTTTTTGCTTAGTTTATTTTAGTTATGTCCACCCTCCCTGTTTGCATGAAGCTCTGCATTTTCCAACTTTGCTTTAACAGTTTATTTTATGTTTTTGTAACAAAACTAGTGAAGGCTAACATTTGGTCTACTATTAACATGAAGCTGGAAAATTCTTTAGAAACAGCATTTTGCCTGCTAATTCTTGGTCCATAGGTTCACTTGAAACGTGAATATAAATGGTACCTTGAAAAGCAACCCAAAATTTGATAAATGATTGTGTAAAGTTTCTATAAAGTTTGACTATGAAAATGCTCCAATTAAAAGTATTTTCATTGCTAGTTAACTAGAAGATACTCCGATAACAAAGAAAGAGAAGCTTCCTGAGCGAGCACTGCTTTAATAATTCTTTTGATAAATACCCATATACTTAAAGATATTTTGAAAAATTGAAATATGTATGTAATATACACACATACAAATACATATTCAGAACATTTTTATAAAGTCTGGAATACAAGTTAGCATATATAGACTATTACCCATCCAATATCAATATCAGGGCCTCTTACAGTACAACTCCAGAAGGCGCCATTTGCATAACATTGCTCCAGACAGCGCCTTTAACATATAATACAAAATTAGTGGTACTCTTTGGCCATGTTGGTGTTTTGATCTGGGACAGATATGTAAGCAAAGGATTGGCATTTAAAAGAATGAACTTCTGTGTTTGGAGATTGGCAGACTGGCCTTGCTGCCAGTTTTAATACAGACCAAAGAACTAGGAATGATTTTTACATTTTTGAATGGCAGGAAAAAACATCTAAAGAACACTAGTTTGCCACATGAAAATTACATGAAATTCAAATTTTGGTGTTCATAAATAGTTTTATGAGAACACAGCCACACTCATTTGTTTAACTCTCATCTATGGCTGTTTCTTTGCTACAGGGGCAGAACTGAGTAGTTGAGAGAAAGATTGTATGGCTACAAAGCCTGAACTTTTATTATCTGTCTCTTTATGCATAAAAGTTTGCCAGCCCCTGATACTAATTGTTCTGTTTCTTCAATTTTACAAGATAATCCTAAATAGTAGGCAAAAATGGCTAGCCTTTCTGACAAATTTAATTGTGGTAAACTGTGCTAATAATATTTTCTTCATTTGCTTTTTGTCACATTTATTCTTTAATCTGATTCTTTAATGGTCACTTTTTTGTTTGTTTTCCTTCAATGTGTTGTTTAACTTATTAAATGATACTTCATCAATCTGTGTAGAGTTTTGTTACCACATTGATCAAATGTAATTGTATATGAAATCATCGTTATTGATGAAAACCTTAAGGATCGTCCTGGTGGCAAGACATACACAATTCTTCTGGTACATTTAAAATGATGAAGATATTATTTTCTCAGCTTTCTAACTAAATTTTTCCTAACATGATTATACATTCACTCAGACCCAGTAAAATTACTTAAACATTCCATTGAATAAATTTCATTTTTGTTTGTTTGTTTTATTTCAGAATATTGTACTAGGTTGATTCCCTCTTCAGTAAACCCGAGTTACTTAGTATTGTATGTCTGTGATTTGCACTGTAGATGGCAGTATATCATTTTTATTAGAATGTGAATTTCTGTAGCATTGTTAAAAGTTTATTTGACTAAGACCAAAATACTTATTTTGTGGTTTAAAAAAATATTTTCCTTTTGTAAACTTAATTGGAATTTGCAATTTATGTATCTTGTGAAGAAATTTGACACCTGGATTTGGGGAGGAAAAAAAGGAAAAACAAGATAGGAAACTAAAAGAAAAAGAAACATTATTTTATACTGGTAAGGCAATGTGTGTAAAATGAAACTCATTGTCCATCTACGTGGCTCAGCTTTTTTTCTATTTACCGTCTGTTTTCCATTTGGAGAAAATCTTATCCATGGAAGAATTAAATTTAACATAGTTACATATTTTAGATTTTGAAAATAAAACCTATGTAGATGAACCTCGATTTTATAAAGGAAATACCTTTGAAGTGCTTATAAAAAGAAAGAGTAATTGGTTTATTGAAGATGTCATGCCTCTGTTACTACTTGAGAATGGAATAACTTCTGTCTAATCATAAAAATTGTAATGCCAGTATTGGTACTTTTTCAAATTACTGTGTTCTCATAAAGGTTTGCTTTTGTCCCGTTAGTTGGTTGATCGTGTTTTTGATGAAAGCCTCAACTTCCGAAAGATTCCTCCATTAGTTCATTCTAAAACACCAGAAGGAAACAACGGTCGATCTGGTGATCCAAGACCTCAAGCAGCAGAGCCTCCTGATCACTTAACAATTACAAGGCGGAGAACCTGGAGCAGGGATGAAGTAAGTAAACTATAAATTTTAACATACGGCAGAAGAAGCATGTTCCGTAAGTGAGAATAGGAGGAACCATTCAGTAAGTAGGGCTGGGGAAAAAGTGATTCTCCTTAATAAATGCAATGAAATTTCACCATGACATCACATCATATACAAATAATTAACTCCAAACAAATTTAGTTATTAAATAATGCAAGAAAAACTGTAAAACTTTTACTTAAAAAATACAGACAAATTTCTTTCAGTATTGTACTAGGGAGTGAAGAGAAACAAAAAGTTTTGGCGTTAGAAAATTGATACATTTGAGTATATTAAAATTAAGGACTTTTTCTTTATTAAAAAAGAAGGTAGAAATACAAATTACAAACTTTTGCAAAACATAAAGCCTATGAAGGATTAGTATACAGTATATATAAAGGACTCCCTCCAATCAATTAAAAAACACAATAGAAAAATCTGCAAAAGACATGAACAACATTTCACCAAAGAGAAAATACCGAGGCGGGCAGATCACTTGAGGTCAGGAGTTTCAGACCAGCCTGGCCAACATGGGGAAACTCCCTCTCTACTAAAAATACGAAAATTAGCCAGGCATGGTGGCACGTGCCTGTAATCCCAGCTACTCAGGAGGGTGAAGCAGGAGAATCGCTTGAACCTGGGAGGCAGAGGTTGCAGTGAGCTGAGATCGTACCACTGCACTCCAGCCTGGGTGACAGGGTAAGACTCTGTCTCCGAAAAAAAAAAAAAAAAAATGACAAAAAAAAAGAGAAAATATTGAAGGCCTAGAAAACATAAAGGGATGTTAAACTTAACGAGTGTTCAGAAAAATGCCTGTCAAGACTACAGTGAGATTATAATCATTCAATTGTTGGCACGTTAAAAAGTCTTAAAATGTTAAGTACTGGAGGAAATGTAGATACATAGGCTTTCTTATGTGTGGTTGGTGGAGGTTAAGTTGGTGCTGTGGCTTTGGAAAACAGTTTGACACTATCTCCTAAAGTTGAAAATAAAGACATCCTATGACCTAGCAATTTTCTTGCTAGTGTATGTACAAGAAAAACCCCTTCCTATTGACAGTAGAAGTTACATTTATAGTAACATTGTTGACAATATCAAAAACTTGGAAACTGTTTACATCAGCTGAAAAGTGAATGTATAAACTGGTATATTCCCAGATTGAACAATTACAGAGTAATAAAAAATTCAAGGATATAAAGGAGTTCCTTCATCAAAGAGTGGTTATTTCAAATACTACTATGGAAAGAGGTGATTTAGGAACAACACACAGAGGTGATATATGCTTAAGGGCTAGGTACAGGAAAAGTGTAGAAAGAAACAGTTGACAAGAAGAGATTGATGATAGATTAATACTTGTGGGTCCCTGGATTTAGGAATAGGATCTTGAGATTATTATGTAAGAATATGTATGTTTCTCATGGTACTGAGTAGAAAAAGATTTACCTGGTGGAAAAGTATGCCACTAGCCTGAAAGTTACAATTGAAGTATACTAAAAAGTTTTAAAGCATACTTGATCTGTCCTGGCCTAATAGTTGATTTGTTCTTGGTGTCAGGAAAAGGGCCCATTCTCTAATCTTATTCTACTCATTCTGTCCTGATGTCTAGGAAGACAAATTTCTCCAAACGTAATAAAACTATGTGGAAGAAGTTTATGTTTTTAAAGAGAATGGAAACATCTACATTGATAGTTATCTCAAGGTTGATATCAGGAATTTATTTAATACTTTGTGACAACAAGCTAAACTTCATGAGCAAAGAAAAGAGAAATATCCTATTCTGTGTTGCAATCTTTCTTTAGACTCTCCTGCCCTTTCTCATGCCTTCCTAATTTGTATATGTCTTCCATCTTTATTTGATTGTTTTCTTAAGGCCCATAAAAACCATTTTGCTTATTTATCCTTTCCTTGACAATGTTACTTTTCACAACCTGAATAACATTTTATTGCCCACTAAATTCAAATCCTTGTCATTCTGAAGTTAGTTCACATTTTTCCGTGATCACTTCCTTATTTATGCCACTCATCAATGAACTCTCTTTCGTTAGAATTATTATTTTTTTTTTATTTTGAGAGGGAGTCTCGCTTTGTCGCCAGGCTGGAGGGCAGTGGTGCTCTCTCCACCCACTGCAACCTCTGCCTCCCAGGTTCCAGCAATTCTCCTGCCTCAGCCTCCCAAGTAGCTGGGACTACAGGCATCTACCACCATGGGCAGCTAATTTTTGTATTTTTAGTAGAGATGGGGTTTCACCATGTTTGCTAGGATGGTCTCGATCTCCTGACCTTGTGATCCACCCGCCCCAGCCTCCCAAAGTGCTGGGATTACAGGTGTGAGCCTCTGTGCCCGGCCTCATTAAATTCTTACAGCACCGAATCTCAAAATTTATCTGAACGTCTCTTCTTGTTTTGTAGACCTTAGGCTTTCTGATAAAACATGTAATCGTATTCCCTGTATATTACCATCATCTCCCCCAGTGATCTTTAAACCTTTTTGCCATCCAGGGCCTTATCTTCTGTTTTCTTTCAGACGCCAGATACAGTACTGACAATATAAGGAGCTGGTTTTGAAAACCAGATCTAGACTCAAATTTTGTCCTTTTTCTACCATGCTTCATTAGCTTTGCCTTTCATGATTTGGCCTAGGACTTGGCAAACTTCAGCCCATAGGCCAAATCCAGCCCACCACTTGTTTTGTAAAAGTTTTGTTCCAACACAGCTATGTTCACATGCATGATTTGCTCATTATCTATGGCTGCTTTCACACTGCAAAGGCAGACTTGAGGAATTGTGGCAGAGACCCTATGTCCCTCAAAGACTAAACCTTCACCCTCTGGCTCTTTACAGAGGTTGGTGACCCCTGGTTTTGCCCATGCATCTCAGCTGGAGTAATATTAACACCCCGTATAAAAACTTACTATTTTGAGTAAATTTTTAAAAATGTATCTTTCCCACTAGACTCTTTGCTGGAGAACAAGGATTGTACTCTTCTTGATTTCTGTATTCACATTACTTGGTGAAAGAATAAATAATAAATTTAGTACTCTAAGTTACTTGTATCTTCTCTTTTATACTTCAGGTGGAAGTAAGAGAGACAGGATCATGATAGTAATTGAAGATAAACTGAGGATAAAATGGATTGTGTTTGGAAACTGATAAGACCAAAATAACATGGAAACTTGACAAGTTATTTAATAAAAGAACTCCTTTGTTAATAGTGTTTCTTTCACTTTCTCATTTTAGTTACGTATTAATTATATTCTTCATTGGTTTATAATTAAAATAAGCATGAATACTAACTGCCCCTAAATATAGTGACTTATGACTGGTGATCCCAGTAGTTATACAATACAGGGGTAATATTTTAATATCTACTTTTTTCTTTGGCTGTTGCAGGTCATGGGAGATAATCTGCTGCTGTCATCTGTCTTTCAGTTCTCTAAGAAGATAAGACAATCTATAGATAAGACAGCTGGAAAGATCAGGTACATATACATATAGCTTATGTTTTTTTAACTTTAATATCACCTCACTTTGCTTTTTGTTGCTTTTTCTCAAGGCTAAAAATGTATCATCAGAATGAATGTGTTTACCTTTGGAAAAATTTGTCCCAAAGTAAAAATCTATCCAGTACTACTTTATAACTTTAAATTTATTACTAATTCAAAACATAAATAGACTTACAGATTTTATTTAACAGTACTTCAGAAATCCATGCTTGCTATTGCTTATTTCTGATTCCTATAATTAAAATTTAAAATGTAATGAAACAGTATTTGAACATGGTTTGTGAATTGTAATATTCCACACAAATATAATTCTACATTGTTTATATATTGAAATAATACATTTTATCAGCGTTTGATGAGTACCAAGAAGCCATTAAATTTTTTCAAAAATAATTTCAAAAACACCATTTAAAACTTAAAGTATTCTTAAAAACAGTCTATTTAGCTTAAAACAATGTGTTTTAAGTTATCTTGAGCCTGTATCTTAAAAATGTCTTAAAGGTGGCCGGGCGTGGAGGCTCACACCTATAATCCCAGCACTTTGGGAGGCCAAGGTGGGCGGATCACGAGGTCAGGAGATCGAGACCATCCTGGCTCACATGGTGAAACCCTGTCTCTACTAAAAATACAAAAACATTAGCCGGGCGTGGTGGTGGGCACCTGTAGTCCCAGCTACTCGGGAGGCTGAGGCAGGAGAATGGCATGAACCCGGGAGGCAGAGCTTGCAGTGAGCCGAGATCACACCACTGCACTCCAGCCTGGGCAACAGAGCAAGACTCTGTCTCAAAAAAAAAAAAAAAATCTTAAAGGTGTACGAGAACTTCTCTTCACTTTATTGCCTCCTAAAAGAATATTAATTTAAAATTCCTTATGTTAAAAATAATGTACTCTGCACTGTCTTGTCCCGTTTTTCTATTTATTTTAAAATGTGTGTCTTTTTAGCAAAAGTAATACATGAACATGGTTAAAAAATATAAATCTTCCAGAAAAAATGTATATTATACCTAATAGTGGTGTGTTTCCCCACTCTGGGTTCATTTCTCAAAGGTTTATACAAATATGATCATATTTTATTTGCTTTTGTACCTTGATCTTTTCTCTTAATTAGATCTTTACTTTTCCCAAAGAGTATGAGTGAAATGTATTGACAGACCCCTCCATATTTGATTGGAATATGAGGCATGCTGCCTAGTGAAAAAACAGCTGAGTCTGGGTGCAGTGGCTCATGCTTGGTAATCCTAGCACTTTGGGAGACCAAGGCAGATGGATCACTTGAGCCTAGGACTTGGAGACCAACCTGGGCAATATAGTGAGATGAAGGAAAAAAAAAAAAAAAATTGGCTGGGCATGGTGGCACATGCCTCTAGTCCCAGCTACTTGAGAGGCTGAAATGGGAGGATCACTGGAGCTCATGAGTTCAGAGTTACAGTGAGCTGTGATCGTGCCAGTGCACCGCAGCCTGGGCAACAGAGCAAGACCCTATCTCAAAAAAAAAAGCAATAGAACATTTAATGTTTGGCTTTTCATAAGGAGTACCTTGTACATATAAATAATGTCGAAAGTGTTTTTAATGACTGCCATTACATACCTATCCATTGTTTTTTTTTTGAAGAGAATTTATCTTAATCAAATCCTATATATTCTTATGAATTTTAAACAGACTTAATTTTTACAGAATAATATTTTAATATTTACTTATTAACAAATAAGTATTAAGTACATTCTAGTCACTTTATAATTAGACATTGACAAAACAAAGACCCCTGTTCTCATGGAGTTTACATTCTAAACCATGTAAACCAATCAGCTTGTATTAAGTTAGCTATTTCTGCTATCGACACGATTTGACTTAATTTCGTTATTTCACTTGATTTTCCCTGTATTTTACTACTCACATTTTCTGTTTCCACTTGAAGCCCAATTACCTGCATTAACTTTTTCTTAATACTAAAATCACTGCTTATATTGATGAGATAAAAAGTATAATAACAATATTAATTTCAGGTATAAACTGGAACCTTATTAACTAAGAAATTTGAAGGGTTATAATTGATTTTAGAGAAGTTAAAGTAGTTGCATGCTGTTTATAAATACCACATTTTATAAATCCTGATAGGGCTTATAAATGAGTCCATTGTTTTTCTTTTACTCACACTCAGTGATTAAGTAATTAGCACCCTATTATTGTCTTATGTAAGATATAGTACATGTTTTCCCCTTGTGACTCCATCATTCCCAGGTTTACTTCTTTCACAAGTAAAAGAATCTCCTTCACTGTGCAACTCATTCACCTGTGATTTGCTAATATATCCTATGACCAGAGACAAATGAAGTCCACCGTTCCCCGGGGTAAAGCCTAACTGAAATTTGTAGGGAAAAAAAATTTCAAGCTTAACTTATTAGTTATTACACATGAATACACAAATCTGTAGGCCTCAATCACACAGCTGCTTATTAATACCATGGTTCATGCCTCAGATTTGGCTCAAGCATTCATTGTAGTTAAATGTAATATATAATTGTTATCATTTTTATTTTAGTTCCACTAAAATTATTTTCTAGAGCTGGGGCATTATGGAAGGATTATTAACCAAAGAAATAAATAAATGAAATAAACATTGGTTAAGATCATATTATGTGGGAATAAAGTCTCCAGACTCATTCATTCATTGAATGATTTTTGATTCTATGTTATTTGTCTAGCACTGTTTTTGATGTCCTCACATTTTAGTGTAGAAGGCAGGTAAACAGGTAATTACAGCTCAGTGTGTTAAGGGAAATACGTGATGGTTACTGTGGAAGCCCATAGCAAGGGCACTTTGGAAATTCAGAGAAGGGCTCTTAGAGAAATTGCCATGCAGTTTAAGTCCTGAATGATGAGGAGAGGAGTTAGTCAAAAACTGCGTGAAGTGAAAGGGCCAGAGTATGGTGAGAGATGACACTAGAGAGATGAGGATGAATCTGTTTTGGCAGAATTTGTTAAGTAGTTTGGATTTTATCATTAAAAACCATATGAAGCTAATATATCCAATATGGGTCCTCTTGATACACCAGTGTTACCCATAAAAAAATCATGAGAGTCTTGTATGGTCATGTGGCTTGTAACTGGAAAACCCTGGAGTCTCCTCACCTATAAACAAGTACACCATGTTTTTTTCATCCTACCTGCTGAAATACAGGTCTTCGTCCCTGATAACTGGATTCTTAACCACTCATTCATTTATTCAGCAGATGTTCACAGATTACCTGCCCTGTACCAGTCTCTTCCTTACCACAGAGCAGCTTTCCTACATTCTGTAGTCTTCCCCCAAAGAAAAATATTTTTTATAGCTTTGACATTGAACTAAAATTGAAAAACAAAGAACACATTGCTGATGGATTGATAAACTGTATTGTCTCAGAAAGTGACAGAATTTATAAAGTTTAAGAAAAGATGCAGATGCCTCAATAAAGTTATACATAAATACAGAATGTTTAAAGTATTGGAATTGCCTTCAGTTTGAGCGTTGAGTTTGGACACTATGGCAGGTTTTATGGAAGGTAATGAGGATAAAACCATTTCTATTATTAAAGCGTTTCCAGTATAATTGGCAAGGTGAGGCGCATATAAAATCAACTATTATACAAGATAGCATAAAACAGATTAGTGCTCAGTTAGAGATATAAAGGCAAAGAAAGGATCACTTTCACCTAGGATGATTAGAGAAGGCTTTGGGAAGAAGATATTGTTCAAAGGTAGACCTGAGTTGTGATAACTAAACCTAAGGGGTAGAGACCTGGACCTTCTGCATGAAAAGTGCCAGGGTAGTTTGAGCATCAACTGGTCTTTAAGCTTTATGTCAGGAGTTATAACCTCAGATGTCTACTGGGGTTCATCCTAGAGGCACGCATATTTACATTGTATGAACACTGTCTGCTGAATCAATTGTTAAATATTTATACAGGAACTCCTGTTGTATGTACAGCATTCTCATCGCATTCCATGTGAAAATGACCCCCTTAGGTTGTGTCGCACAGCCTTGCATTGGTAGGCCATCAATTCGCAACCCTTAGGTTGTGTCGCACGGCCTTGCATTGGTAGGCCATCAATTCGCAACCCTTAGGTTGTGTCGCATGGCCTTGCATTGGTAGGCCATCAATTCGCAACCCTTAGGTTGTGTCGCACGGCCTTGCATTGGTAGGCCATCAATGCACAACTCCGCGTCTGCATGTTTTAATGGCTAGTACTAGAGAATTGGTTCTGGCTCGTAGGATAGGAGCCTGAGACTTCTGTTTGTTTCTTTCCCTAAAACCAATGGCTTTATCAAAAAGTATCCTAACTTAATTCTTAAATTATTGAATGAAATGAGCTTTGGAATTTTATGTATTTTCATGCTGAAGTTTAGCTTATTTTAAATCTATAATGTAATCTGAATATGACTTTGAAAGCTATGATTTTTCAGTTTAAAATTGATAAGGACCTTTGAACAAAAACAAGTTCTGATCATTATAGCCTGGTCTAAACTAATTTCTTGGTCTAATTTTCTGATTCTCTAGTATTTAAATATTACATTAAAGTTTATTTCATAATGTCAAAATGGCGAGTTTGGGCCGGGCACGGTGGCTCACGCCTGTAATCCCTGCACTTTGGGAGGCCGAGGCAGGCGGATCACAAGGTCAGGAGATCGAGACCACGGTGAAACCCCGTCTCTACTAAAAATACAAAAAATTAGCCGGGCGAGGTGGCGGCCGGCGCCTGTAGTCCCAGCTACTCGGGAGGCTGAGGCAGGAGAATGGCGTGAACCCGGGAGGCAGAGCTTGCAGTGAGCCGAGATCACACCCACTGCACTCCAGCCTGGGGGACAAAGCGAGACTCCGTCTCAAAAAAAAAAAAAAAAAGGCAAGTTTGACTTCTTAGATCTGTCCATTATATTTACAAATTGTTTTTTTTTTTTTTTTTTGTTGTTGTTTTTTGTTTTTGTTTTTTTTCTGAGACGGGCTAGAGTACAGTGGCATGATCACAGCTCACTCACTCAGTGCAGCCTTGACCTCCCTAGGCACAAGTGATCCTCCCACCTCAGCCTTCTTAGAAGCTAGGACTACAGGCATCTGCGCCACACCTGGCTAATTTTTTTGTATTTTTTATAGAGACGAGGTCTTGCCATGTTGCGCAGGCTGGTCTCGAACTCCTGGCAGCAAGTGATCCACCCAGTTTGCCTTCCTGAAGTGCTAGGATTACAGGCATGAGCCACTGTGCCTGGCCAACAAACTGTATTTTAAAATAAACCTTTTATTTCTTCAGTGGCGCATTTTTTTTTCAGGGACCATAGGTAACTATTCTAACCCATTTTCACCAAAGGTGAAATGTCTATGGTTTAACAGTTTTAGATCCACAAACACTATACTCAGTAGCCATCCTCTGGAAAAATTCACTGAATTTTTAGCACTGTGTGGCTAAACAGAGACTTTCTTTATTGTGTAAGTCCATGAAAGTTCTAAGTTGGTCCATGAACTAGTCATTATTTCCTTATTCTCCATCAGTCCTAATGCTGCAAGCACTCTTTTATAAGAACATCATAGTTTAGAAAAGATGGCTGGCAAGGGTGTTTATTTTTTTTGAGTTTAGAAAATTTAATAAGTAGGCAATAAGAATATTCTTATACCAGATTCTAGACCCATTGTCATGTTAAGCAAATGTTCCAGACTCGATGTGATGTTAATGAATTTCGTGATTTTACATAAGGTAAGTCTGGTACATTGATCTTTGAAGAAATACCAGCACAAATATTCACTTAGTTTACTGCTTAAATGCTGTTCAGCTTCCAGTAGTAATAAATTTACATGAGATTTATAGTGTTTACACTAGATTTCCAGACGTACTGAAGAAATTTTAAAAGAAACCAAAAAAGTAGCTAGTATTTTACATCTTTCTAAAACTGCTGAATCATGTCTGATAGATTCTAAAGTGTTAGAGAGAAAAATGTCCCACATTTGGAAGACACATCAAAATGTTGTGGTCCTTTATTTTATAAGTTATTTGATGTTAGGGTAATGATAGAATAATTATCTTTATTGGCAATTGTTTTTATCAAAAGAATAGCATCCTCATTCCTAATAGGTTATTATGTACAAATATACTAACACGAATTAACAATTTTTAAAGAAAAGCACAGTAAGTACTCCCAATTTTCAGTCTTTAAAATAATATACACACTTTTGTTGATCAATAAGGTGCTTATTCCTATATAAAGAAGTCTTTACAGACACAATTGTTTATACCTAATTCAATCTGTTTATCTCACTTATTCCTATACTTCATATATTCTCTCTGAACAAAATTGCATTTTCTTTATAAGTGACAGTTACACAGTCGTTTCTCCTTATAATCAGGTGATACATGTTGTTCCAAGACACCCAATGGATGCCTGACACCACAGATAGTTCTAAAACCTAATATACTGTGTTTTTTCCTACACATACATGCCTATGATAAAGTTTAATTTATAAATTAGGCACATTAAGAGATTAACCATGGTAACTAATAATAAAATAGAAGATTTATAACAGTATACTGTAAAAAAAAGTTATGTGAATGTGGTCTTTTTCTCTCTCCCTCTGCCTCTCCCGAAATACTGTAATAGTTTCGGACTACACTTGACTGCCACTAACTAAAACCTTGGAAAGAGAAACCGTAGATAAGAGGGCATTACTGTATTGTAAATTATAAATATTAAAGTTTTGAGGTCATAACATCTTTACATTTGTTTTATATTTTGTTTTCAATAAAGAATAAGATAAACAGTAAAAAATGTATTCATGTATTAATAAGCATTCAATTGGAGCTCATACACATTCATTAATTGGTATTGTTGGCTTAGTATTTTAATTCTCAATTTATGCAATGGTTGGGTTTTTTTTCTTCATGTACCTTTGAAAAGATACGTTGTTTTGGTATCATTAACAAAAAAGTAATAAGTTTTTAAAATATAAAAAGTTATATGCTTATGTTTTTTGATTTATAGAATATTATTTAAAGACAAAGATCGGAATTGGGATGACATAGAAAGCAAATTAAGAGCCGAAAGTGAAGTCCCTATTGTGAAAACCTCAAGCATGGTATAGTAATTTTTCTTGAAGATTAAAACATTTTAGTAGAGTTTTATTTTAAGGAAAATACCCTTATTTTTGAGCTATTCGTTGATTTGCTTTTTCAAAAGAATATATAAATGCAAACTTTTGGGAAATTTTATTGCTTCTACTGACTCACAGGTTTAAAATGTTGATTGTTTCAGAGTTGCAGAGGGTATGAAGGAGAAGCCTTTTGTGTTTCTTACTAGTATATATTCTTCTTGTAATAATTAAACATTAGAAACATGAAATTTTTAAAGAGAACCAAATTTAACTTGAAAATATTAAGTTGACATAAGTTGTTTCCATTTACTTAATGTAATACTTATCTTTTTAAAAGAATTTGTAGAGATTTTCATTGCTCAGAATATATAATATTGAGGTTGCAGTTTATATGTTTTTACAAAGATAATTTGAAGGCATTTTTACATAGTCACTGCAAGGTTGATTAATAAGAATTTTTAAAAATCTTTGCGGCCGGGCTGAGTGGCTCACGCCTGTAATCCCAGCACTTTGTCAGGCCAAGGAGAGTGGATCACTTGAGGTCAGGAGTTCAAGACCAGCCTGGCCAATATGGCAAAACCCTGTCTCTACTAAAAGTACAAAAACTAGCCAGGCATTGTTGCGGGCGCCTATCATCCCAGCTCGTTGGGGGACTGAGGCAAGAGAATTACTTGAACCTGGGAGGAGGAGGTTACAGTGAGCCAAGATTGCACCATTGCACTCCAGTCTGGGCAACAGAGTGAGACTCAGTCTCAAAAAAAAAAAAAAAAAACTTTGCTTAAATAGTAGTAAAAAAAAAAAAAAAAAAAAACTTTGCTTAAATAGTAGTAAATGACTTTAAACTTTTCATCTGCTACAATCATCTCACTGAAAAAATCATTCTATTTCATTGTAATTTAAATATTTTAGTTTGAATCTTGTTTAGTAGATACAATTATTTCATATCATGTTGCTATTAATGTAGTAAGTACCATGTAGATAATATTAAGTGTTCCAAATAAAATGAGAGTGAAATTCATTGCTTGTAAAGGGATACCATTTAGCTAAAGTAGAGGCTAATTTTTGTTATTGCTTTCCCTGCAGGAGATTTCTTCTATCTTACAGGAACTGAAAAGAGTAGAAAAACAGCTACAAGGTAAATAGACTACTGAATTAAGTATAAAGAGCTAATAATTTAGAATAAGTGCCTTCTAAGTGGTATTTCTTAAAATATTCTTATTGTTAGCATATTATTTGATTAAATGTAATGACATACATAAAATATAGAGTTCTATACATTCACATTACTCATATAAAGGAATTTTTTAAACCCAGTGTAAAAATTAAAAATATAATAAAGATATATGTGGGGCATATTTTAATTCATAGGTTTGACAATAGGCTAGATGTCATAAACTAATTGACATTTTTTATGTATTAAATAATACGTGAAAAATATATAATAAAGTTGTGTTAATTAGCATTATTTGTGTGATTTGACAATTCTTAAATTATGTTGGTGGTGTATGTAACCTGAAACAAACTTACATTCTAATAGAAATAATAGTTGCTTAGTTAACAAGAAATGAGTACATATTGGCCATAGAGACCAGAGGAGAAAGGAGAGGAGAAAATGAAAGAGACTGCCCTCTAAACTGTGAAAGGGACGTTGTTTGGTTTGTGTCAGAGCTGGATTGTACATTAATGCCTGTGTATCTCTTGACCTAGAAGTCCCCAGTGGTACAACAAGCAGGTTCCATAGTCGACTGCTGATTCTACTGAGTCTTTATCTATTGAATAATCATAGGTACATATGTGGATCCTATCAAAATGATTTTTAACCTTTATTCAGCCCCAGCATACCTAAGGGTTATGATACACCCCATGAGTAAAAGCGGCTTGCTAACACAGTGCTTCTTAGCTGGTAGACTGGGGGTATACTTTTAAAAGTACCTTCGACATGATTCTTACATCTGTGTTACTTCCTTCTCCCAGCTCCCTACTCTGCCCAGTGCCAAACTGAAAATCACAGCCTGTGAACTTTCCATGTCAACCCAAAGATCTTTTGGATTGAAAGCTGATCTTTAACTGACTCCTCCCATACAGGCAGCAAGTCTGTTTGGCTTTGCAAGCTGCCCTGCGATATTAGTCTGTAGGCTCTGAGGGAACCCCTGTATCTCAGTGGTATATACAGCTGATACCCTAGCACTCTGGCCAGGCTAAATGACATGTTCTGTGGTAGTATTCAAAGTATGCTCATGTTCTTCTGGCCTCTCTAGCCTTGAGGTTACTCTGAACCCTGACTTAGCAGCTAATTCCTCAGTTATCTGAGTGATAAATAGGGTTTAGATATTTATTAAAAATCATATTCAGTATTTTCTCTATCCTCTCACAATAATGAAGACAAGTTTCAACAAGATTTTTCTTGAATTCTACATCTTCAAATACCAGACTTACAAGTCTCTGAAATGCCCGTAAGTGACACATCAAAGGACCCAGAGAAAGTATTCAGGGCTGGGTAATTTACAGTACAACTACAGAATAACTAAGAATGGAGTTTTAAATATAATATTGGAAGATGAGCCACATTTAAGATCACATACGCGCTGATAGTTTAAGTATTATCCAAATCATCAACAGTGTTTATACATGAATGTAACTGCATCTAGAATTATTCCCTTTTCCCTCCCTTTAGCAATCAACGCTATGATTGATCCTGATGGAACTTTGGAGGCTCTGAACAACATGGGATTTCCCAGTGCTATGTTGCCATCTCCACCAAAACAGAAGTCCAGCCCTGTGAATAACCATAGCAGCCCGGGTCAGACACCAACACTTGGCCAACCAGAAGCTAGGGCTCTTCATCCTGCTGCTATTTCAGTCTCAGCTGAATTTGAGAATGCTGAATCTGAGGCTGATTTCAGTATACATTTCAATAGATTCAACCCCGATGGGGAAGAGGAAGATGTTACAGTACATGAATGACTTTCTCTTGAGTGTTGAAAAATCATTACCTGTGGAATGACTAGGAATATTGGAAGCAGCATAGTGTTGACGTACACAAAACAAGACAGCTTGGTCAGCTACAATCTTGGAATCCCTGTCTTCTTAATTTTATTTATTTATTTTTGGCTTACAATGTAGTATATCAATCCTTTCAAACCATTTAGATAACCACTTGATGCACAAATAGGAAAAAGCAGATTGTGGCAGTGTCACCTTTTGTGGTTTTATGATTTTCAAATTGAATTTTATGATTACACCCTTTCCCTTCATAGATCTTTTTTCTTTTTTTTAAGCCATGCTGTGACCTACAAGCAAACTAAATAGCCAACATTTCTGAACCCCTGTGTCTCCTGTGCCAAGCTGCTCCCTGAAATGGACTTCTTCATCTGTACAGATTTGTTAAACCATTCTATTTGCTTCTTAATAATAGGATTTATATTAGTACTCATTACCATTGGACACAATGACAGAAGTACTCTCCACAGTAAAGCAGACCTTCCACAACAGTCACTCTGTGTCCTAAAATTTTCCAACATAGATGTGATTTATATAACTTTGTTGATACATAAATTGTCTTGGGGTTTACGGAAATTAACTATTATGTTTGCACTAAGATTTGCTGGGAGTGGTAGGTGGACATATCTATATATCAATAAGGACTAACCGTCTTTTTTGTACATAGGAGATTGATAATACTGTATTTGTTTTAACCCCACAGTGTTTTACTCCACTTTCAAAAAGATCAATTTGGCACTTTTTTTCATTTTTTTAATGGAAATAAGATTTGGTCTCTCGTTTTAGGTTAAATGATAACTAGAAAGATTAAACTAGACAGATAGTTTAGGTGGAGTATATTTTTAAAACTCAGAACATGTATATTGGTCCTGTGTTACCAAGTTTATATGTGACAGTTGAAAAAAAAATTCCCTTGAAATGATCATGAGGTTAAAATTTTCTTCATTAGGGGACTTGGAGAACCAGTAGTCATAAGATTAGTTGATAGTTTCACTCCCAAGCAATGAATTGCTTCTGTGTGTTTCCCTGTAGGACTCAATAGTAAATCCTGTCTGTCTTACACATTTATAAGGACCCTGCAAGACGACGACGACAAAGGCCTTTGGCCTGTGCTACTAAACAAGAAGCCTATGAAAAATTTCTTCTTTAAACTTGTTTTTTCTCTTTCCAGTAAGTTGACATTTGGATAACTTTTAAAAAAGAAAAGAAAAGTAATTACCTTTGTGTTTCCAGAACACTATAATTGGGGTGTATCTTAATTCAGTTAAATATTATTAGTAGACCTGGATTTTCCCCCTTGACCCCATCAGTCTATTAAGGTTAAACTGCAACTTTTATGAAATGGTCTTTAATATTTCCACAATAATCCTGTGCTATATTTGTTTTAAGAAACAAAGTAACTCTATACACTTCAAGACTTTACAGGATTTTTAAAATCCTGTATTGTTGGATCAATTAATAAAGATGCAAAAAACTTCTTATAGAGATGTAAAAACAAAAGTATAATGGATCCCCTATTTTTCTTTAAATTCAAAAAAAAAAAGGTAAATGAACTATTCTCCTTATAAAGCTAAATTCCCCATTCTGTCTAATAAAGGAAGACTGAAAAAAGGTTTTAAAGAACATAAATGGAAAGATACAAATACTTTGAAGGAATAAACGAAACATTAAAACAGGGTCAATCCATTTGAAGAAAAAGTTGGACAAAATAATCAGCATTGCTCCCTCTTTTATTTAATATTTGGGTACTGATTATATCCACATGGAAGTAGAAGGTAAGGAGTTTAGGAAAATATTAGAATCTACTCTGCTTACATTCTTGTTTAAGTGTTTACACAGTTTGGTTCAATTATAAACATTTGGCCTTTTACTATGTTATTTTTATTTTGTATGAATACATTATCCTCCTTATTTATTTTTGTTACATTTATTACTTATGTTATTTTGTTATGCATTTACAACTCCATTTTTAAATAAAGTGTTTCTGGAACTTTATACAATGATTGTATATTTTATTTCTTTTATCATCTTGCTTGCTAATACTTCATCAACTTATCAAATGATTATAAACCATTTCCCAAGGCTTAGCAAAAGCAAGAATCCTCCAGTTCTATTAATATGTGGTTACTGTGAAATCTCTTATTAGTTTGACTATTTAAAGAAAAAAATTGTCTTAGCAGATTATGATCAATATAATTCACTTAGCTTAATGTCCTAAAGTAATGTGCCTATACAAGGTCTTCATTTTTAACCAGCTTTAGATCATCAGAAAGCTTTATGACAGTGATCTATATTGGGAATAAAGTAGAAATTTAAAATACCTTTGTCATCTTAAATTTGATAACTATCAATTTATACTGTTTCTTTTTTATCCTATCACTCAAGCTCAAGAATCTTGAATGTCTCAGTATTATTCAAAATTATAAATTTCACAGCTTAACCTTTTGAGACTTTGTGTGTTCTGGCCTTTTCTTTTGTGCATATCTGTGTGACCCATTATAGTATCTACCACCATTTACAACTTTCTTGACCACCATGAGCTTTTCATCCTTCTGTACCCTGTATCTTCCTCCCCTTCCTTCCTGCTTACCCATAGCCCTTTCATTCTTCAGGGTCCCACCAACTTCTTCATACAGCTTCCTTCATATGACTGCACCACATAGGGCTGTGCCAGATACGTGCATTTTCTCTTCCCTTCCCCCATGACATATACACGTTTCTTCCCTGGTAACTAAAGTAATCTTCATTTCCTGGATAGTCCCTTTGCTTTGAAACATCTGTGCCATTTTGCCTCCTTCATCCCCTTGGGTTTGCTTGCCACATCTCTGCCTGAAAGGATTCAGACTTGGAAAGGAAACCAAACCTGGAAGTCTGAGATCCAGACCCACTCCCTCCTAGCTATCAGTGCGTTCCTCCCTCTCATCTGCAAAATTAGGACATCACTGTTATTATCCAAGTCCCTTTTAGCCTAAGTTGTCTATGACTGTATGAAATGTTCTCCTTCAAAAAGCTTTTTCTGATTCTTTGTCATGATCTTCCTTTCATTGTGTTTGCATAACACAGAAAGTTCTTAGAAACCAAAATAAAAATGTATTTAATTGAATCGGCATTAATTGAGATGTATGTACTCACTTTCAAGAAAGTCTATTGGGAGATAGCTGTGTAAACAATTCACTCTAAGATGAGGTAGAATGGGATCTCTACACATAGGAGACAAATGCAGGCTTTTTTTTTTTTTTTTTTTGGTCTTCTAGGTTTAGGTAAGGAGGACAGGCTGGGGGGCCAACAACCACAGACATCTGGCTGCCAGCAAGGGTTTGGGGGAGGTTTATGAAACATCTTTGTCTTTGAGTAATGGTCTCCCATGTGACAGCAGCCAAGCCTGCTTGTTCCTGTAAGTCTTTAACAGAACGTGGTTGTTTACATGCTTTAATCGCAGTTAGTTTCAAAAACTACATGGTTGCTGCTTTTGTGCTCTAAAAGCATCCTAACCTACGTGCAGAAATGGGTCAAGGCCTCTTAAACGGAAATGGAATTAGTTATGTTAGTCCTTTTGCTGTTTCACTGTTAACACTTGTTGCTTCTTTTCCTGAATCTTGACCATAAGGAAAAGTTCCCCGTCAGCCACATTCTGTCTCTCACAACACCTCATCACCTGGAACTGATTCTTGTTGAATGTTTAACTTGTTCTCTTTAACTCTTATACATCCTGCAAGGTACAACAAACATTTTGTAGATTTTGTTAATTAAAATATTTTAAAGTTATTACCACTGTAATTTACTACTGCTACTGTGAGGTCTAACCTTGAACTGAAAGATGAAAAATTCTGTAAATTTTGAGGCATAGTACATTAGCTCTAGAAATGCTCAACACTAGTTGAGCAATGTCATATTTAGGGTAATTGAAACAAATATAACAAGGAGGGAGGGGCTGTTTTTCTCGGCAGTGTAATAAATGCTTTACATGTACTGTCCCTTTTAATGCTCACAACTCATTAATGAGCTATTATTCCTACATTAGAGATGAAGGAACAGAGGCAGCGGCCCAGTTGGGATTTGATCAACATGTATTTGACTTGGAAATCCAAACTCTTTATAACCATTCTCCACGGGCTGTCACCCAGCAAACAACTGGTAGAGCCTGGACAAACCAAGTGACTTGTATTCACCCTTTACAGCTTTGTCTCGTGACCACAGACCCGAAGAGGTCACCAGGCCCTTCCTCTGCTTTTGAGTAGAACTTCTAGAGCTGGGTATCCTGACATTTCTCCTAGTAAACTTCTCTACTGATGACAAGCAATGACCAAATGCTAGGAATGTCTTTGTTATGTGAAACAGATTCTTTGAAAGAGATAATGAACTGTCTCCTTGAAAGCTGGATGTTGGGTGCTTCCGGAAGAATGCTATGAAGAACCACATCAGCTTATGAGCTGACTGTACTCTCCACTTGTTTTAAAGAGATGAAAACCCAGGGCTGCCAATAGAAACTCTGGTGAGTCCACATCAGAGCTATGTGACCAGTGAGCTGCCTCCCAAGCTATTTATTACAACACTTGTCTCTGAGCAAGGCCAAATAAAATGGAGTAAAAAACCACCCCTTGGACTAACAGAACATGACCATGGAAATCTCTCAGGACAAACAGTGGCTGGAGTGTAGCAAGGCAGAAAGCAGCATGGTCTTAACCTGACACTTAGAGATAAAACAGTAAAAAGTGTAGGGGGCTCCTACGCCAATTTGCAATAATGAGCAAGGGTAGTGACAGTTGGATTTTTCTTGAATGAGAAAAATTTCCATCAAATTTGACACGAAATAAACACACAAAGTCTCTTTGTGCTATTTTCATGGTAATGTTTGCACCCAAGTCTCTGGAGCTCTGGTTCCTGCTTGCTTTTCCAGTAGTGTCTACTCAGTGATGAAAAGCAGCATTTCATGGCCAAGATTTTCAACTGTTTGGCAAAGACCATTATGTCCAGCATATGGAGGATCTGTGACCTTTGCCACGTCTGCTGCCTGTTACCAGTCTGTCTATGGTTATAGCCCAGAGACTTCCCTTCAAGAGAAAAAAAAAAAAAATCAATTTATCCTAAATTTTTAATTGCCCTATAAGACTTCATAATATGAACAGCGTTTTCAAAAAGGCACAAAGAAAAAATGGTCCAACCACTTTGGAAAACTAGAAATTCCTCATTAATGTACACCTACCACACAACCCAGCCTTTCCACTCCTAGGTATTTTACCCAAGTGAAATAAAATCACATGTCCACAAAACCACCCGTACACAATGCTTATAGAAGCCATATTTGTTATAGCCAGAAACTGGGCATTCCAGTGTTCACCAACAAGTGAATGGATCCCAAATAGGATGCATCACAAATAGTGAAACATTCATAAAATGAGATCCTGTTCAGCAATAGAAACGAACACGCTACTGACACACACGGTAACATGGACCAATTTCAAAAACATGCTGAGCTAAAGCAACCGACCCAAAAAAGGGCATGCTTGATGATTCAATTTATGTGAAATTCAAAGACAAAACACTGATAGTGACTGAGATCAGTGCTAGTGGGGATGGGAGGTGAGAGAAAATTGCCTACAAAAAACTCACAAGTGAGTTTGTTGTTGTTGTTGTTGTTGTTTTGTTTTGAGACGGAGTCTCGCTCTGTCGCCCAGGCTGGAGCGCGGTGGCGCGATCTCCACTCACTGCAAGCTCCGCCTCCCAGGTTCACGCCATTCTCCTGCCTCAGCCTCCCGAGTAGCTGGGGCTACAGGCGCCGCCACCACGCCCGGCTAGTTTTTTGTATTTTTTTAGTAGAGACGGGGTTTCACCGTGTTAGCCAGGATGGTCTCGATCTCCTGACCTCGTGATCCGCCCATCTCGGCCTCCCAAAGTGCTGGGATTACAGGCTTGAGCCACCGGGCCCGGCCACAAGCGAGTTTTTTGGGCATGGCGACAGTTATTCACAGGAGTGAGTACATGTCATGAAACTCACCAGGTACATTTAAAATGATACTTTTTATCAAATGTAAACTATTTCTCAATAAAGTTGATCCATGTTAAAATGGCACGGATAGTTGTCTATAACTTTGATGCACATAATTACTTCCTCGAACTGCTTTTTGGGGAGCACGTCACCTCTTTCTCCTGCATTGCTGTACTGATTCTTAGCTCTCCAAAGCGTCCTATCACTAGGAAGTGTCACCGTGACTCTTCCAAAGTTACTGCTTTCCTCTCCAGTGTCAGTCTAGGAATCAAGCAGCCTTCAGAGGGAAGAAGTTGACTTTCACAGGACAAAAGCAAACAATGGTCATCGTGAAGGGCCATCGTTGAACTGCATTCCTTTTCATTTAGCTCCAGCAGGTGTAATAAAGTGTGCTGACAGACTATGTTCAGCTTGGCTTCTGTAGTCTATTACCACTTGGAGATATCCCTGGTTCCCAGTGAGCCTTCCTTATCCACACCACCAACAGACGAGCACTAGGCTGACTACCAAACATATATGTGGTCATTTATTCAAGTATCTCTATGATCAAGAATATTATGTAATCATCATCTATATATTCATAGGAATGAATACAGTCCTTGTCCTTGAGGAAGAAAAAGTTAAAACACTACCACAAGACGCAAATACATAATTTAAATACAATTTGTGAAAAAGTTTTCAGCCCAGATTGCTCCCTTCTACCTAACACTAGGCTTAAAGATTGACCAAACTGGTATTGAATAAATGTTCGTTGGATGGATGGATGGATGGATGGATGGATGGATGGATGGATGGATGGATGCATGGATGGATGAATGGGTGAATTAAAAGGAGCAAGCAGAATTCTGATCTCAGTTGTGTCTGAACTAAGATTATGCACTTGGGGCTGGGCACAGTGGTTCACACCTGTAATCCCAGCACTTTGGGAGGCTGAGGCAGGTGGATCACTTGAGGTCAGGAATTCGAGACCAGCCTGGCCAACATGGTGAAACCCCATCTCTACTGAAAA